TTTTGAAAAATACCCAAGGCTATAGCCCACTGGTTTTTTCAAGAAATGGCTCCAAAATCACTCCAAAATTTATTACATCTTTTGATACTTATTGATGTCCTTATACTATGTAGAAAGTTTAAGTTGTTGTTGACAAAATTTTTAGCATTTTAAAAATAACCCAATTTTTGGACAAAAAAACGAAGGTTTTTCAAGCCCATGGTTATTTTTTATTTGACTTATTTCCTAGTGTTTAAGAAGAGTTGATTCAGGATTTCGTCTTCCTCCTCCTCCTGGTTGTCCCAGGTCTATATATGAGATGATGATACAATGCTGGTATGTATCGTTAATTACTGTATTATTAATATTTGTTTGTTTATAGGCATCCAGATACTGGTAGTCGTCCTACATTTGTACAGTTAGTATCAAGACTCTCATTATCTGATGCTAAACTGTTGAGTACAGTATCAAGTGATACTACAGTAATAGGAGGACCACTGGAGACTGGACACCAACTATATACTGAACTACAAAATATGTATCAGTAATTTAATTGTGTTTTATATTTGTTTGATTATTATTATTATTATTATTATGTATTTATATGTTGTTTAAGTTTTTATGTCTTTTATAATTATCATTTGATTATACTGCTAAATTTAATATACTTTGCCTTATTGCTCTTACCTAATAAGGAATTGTGCTAAGTGCTGAGTGTAGGTGTGCATACAACTTGCAAGATGAAGTTAGATCTACTTGTTCTTTTATCTATTTGTCTGTTACAAGGTACTGCACAAATATATATATATATATATATATATATATTTCATAATAATGTGTTATATTTATTGTCTTTGTAGCTGGTACAGTTGAGTCTTGTACTGAAGGATTCATGAGTCAAGACCTCCTCACTGCTAAGGCTGAGCAGATCACTTCCTGTGTGGGATCATCAGTCACTGCATTAGCTGAATCACAACCAACAAGGTGGATATTTGGACGTCATTTTAGACCAAAGTCATCCTGTAGCAGCTCACATGTGATAACTGGACTCACACTAGGAGTGGACATTAGATCAGTCAATGAGAGTCGTAATGAATATCCTCTTTTTGAAATATGGACAAGAGATTCTAATTCTAATAGTTTCATTAAACAACAGAGTATTTCTGTTGCTCTAACCCCAGCTAATTTTAGCACAAATGGAACCTACCAATTCATATTTCCTACACCAATCAGTTTTAATTCTAACACTCGTTTAGGAATATACCAACCAGCTAATGATACTAGTGTTGTTAGGTTTTATAGAGTGAGTCAATCAACAGGCATAAAAAGAGTAGAAGATGATGACATCAATAATGATCAACTATCACAATCTGATCTCATATCTACTTCTTTCAATGTCCTTATACATCCAATAACAGGTCAATAGTATTATTATGTGCTATAAGGTAAAATATTTTTTATTTTATAGAGCCAAGTGATGACTGCTTTCAAAGTTTCTTAAGTCAAAACGATGTGATTATAGATAGCTCTGGTATCACTAGGATTACAAGGGTTACAAATGAAGTGAGAGCATTTCCTGATATTCGTTTCACGTGTAACGGAACAATCAAAAACATAATACTGGGAACTTTAAGATTTGAAAATCATTACCCATTAATTCAACTTAAAAGATCATCTCAACTGATCAATGTGTTACGTCCTAACATTACTGGTGCTACTAATATTAGTACTAATTTGTATAACGTGAGCCTAATCAATCCAGTTGAAGTTAAACCCAATGATATACTAGTGATAGACAGTTCAAATGATGCAAGAATGTACTACCAGCAATACAATGGACCACTCAATTATGAAATTGAGAATCACAATGGCGAGTTAGAACTGGAACCACTAGACAGTTCTAATAATTACCCTCTGATATCTATTGTAGCTAGTGCTAGCACAAGTGAATTTGTATCAGCTAGTAACTATGTTAGTCTTGATGTAAGTGCTACTACTTCACCTTCAACTGGTCCTGAATCTCTTGATAATAACATTGGTGTGATTGCTGGAACGATAACTAGTGCTATCATATTGATTATAGGAGTCACAATTTTGGTCATTGTTATTGTCCTTATTGCTAGAACTAGAAATAAAAGAAAAACAATACGTCTAAACAGTTTGACAATCACGAGATCTGCCTCGTCACAGATTGGTATGTCATCATGATATTGCATGTAAACTGTTACTCCTTTTAAATGTGTGGCTGTCATAGTCTTACCCTCCCTTCTCAACTGTATAAACTGTTACTCCTTTTTAGATCACGATTATACTATTGTCGCAAGTGGCAGCTTTAGCACCGAAGGCTCTAATATGTATCATAAAATTCATGATCTAGACTACAGTCAACCTGTAGATAATACAGTAAGTATGAGAAAAAATTTGAAACCTACCACCTTAATTATTATTAATGCAGATTAAAAAAGGACTCTATAATCCATCTTATTCTGAGCAGGTTTGTATAAAAAATACAGGTACAATAGTATTTTTTTTGAAATAATTATAGGAAGCACCAAAATATGAAACAGTCACAGTTCATAAATTAACAAGTCCTTCAGTAACTATTAAGAATATCAGTTTATTTGTGTATATAATTATTTTTTTAATAGACTCCTGTTGTCATTCCAAGTCCAAATACATTAGAGAATCCAATGTACACTGATGAAGTAAAGTCATTATTAGTTAAATAATATTTTATGTGATGCACAATGCATAGATTATTGGTAGCAATATTGACAAGAATAGCAGCATAGTGACGCCACAAATGTATGCAGTTCCCATATCAAGTGTAAGTCATACAAAATAACAATGATTTATACATTTTTTAAATTTCAGAGCCAAGCAAAAATAGATCCCTCACATGCACAGGTTAAACGATTTTAGAATGAGCAATGTGATAATGCCATTTTTTGTAGCTATCAGCATCACCGACACAATTTGTTCAAGAAGAACCACTTTACTGGCAGCCTGGTGATGACACAGATTGTCTGTATCACCAGTTATCATCAAAAGGATTTAGAGAAATTGCAAAAAAAGATATTCAGTAAATGAGACCAAAAAATTATTTTAACTATTATCATTATTATCATAGAACAATTAAAGAGTTAGGATCAGGCCAATTTGGTACTGTCTATGAAGGAATGTGGTTATCAAAGCCAGTTGCCATTAAAACATTAAAGAATAGTTCAGTGGAACAAGATAAGGTCAAGTTTCTTCAAGAGGCAGCCATTATGGGTCAGTTTCATCATCCTAACATTGTCAAGTTACATGGAATGGTCACTGTTGGAGAGCCAGTGAGTTAGTTAATATAATTAATAATTATTTTATTATAATTATTGAGAACAGTTGATGATAGTACTGGAGTTAATACCTCATGGAGACATGAGACAATACCTTCACACTCTCCAACCACAGTATGTACTATCAGTAGATTATGCTATTAATATTGTGTATTATAGACCAGGAGAACTGGTAGCATCAACAGTACCAGGTCTACTGCTCAGTTTCTGTCGTCAGATTGCTTCAGGTATGGAGTACTTGTCTAAGAAAGGGTTTGTACACAGAGACCTGGCTGCTAGGAATATACTGATGACTGATCATGGAATGTGTAAAGTAAAGTGTTTAGTGTATTAATATTTATAACATTATTGAACAGATTGCTGACTTTGGAATGTCAAGAGATCTACATGATGAAAATTACTATGTATCTACTACTGCAAAGAGGATTCCTATCAAATGGACAGCTCCTGAAGTAACAATCAATCACTAAAAACTAACTCAATTGTATTGTACATTATTATCACTAGGCTTTGCATTTCAAGCGTTATTCCAGTGCTAGTGATGTATGGAGTTATGGTGTAGTAATGTATGAGATATGGAGTCTGGGACATAAACCATTTGAAAACTGCACCAATCAAGAGGTATGTAATCAAAAAGTTGTTGAAAGATGATTCGTTCTTATAATTTTTTTAACACATGCATGTTTATATATTGAGTAAAAAGTTTGTACTATTTCCAATCAAGTTTGAATATTTCATTTGATCACCCCCAAAATTTTATTGGACTTTTTGATGTATACCTTAAGCCATGTGGAATGTTTGAGCTGTTTCCGACAAATATTTTTGAGCTATGAGCATTTTTAAAAACAAGCCAATTTTTTTGAAAAAATACCCAAGGCTGTATCCCATGTTGATATTTCAAAAATGGGTCCGAAATCACTAAAAATTTTTATTACACTTTCTGATACATCTTTATGCCATGTAGAAAGTTTGAGCTGCTTCTGAAAAATATTTTTTGAGTTTTTGAGCATTTAAAAAAATGAGCCAATTTTTGAAAAATACCCAAGGCTATAATAGCCCATGGTTTTTTTCAAAAAATGGCTCAAAAATCACCTCAAATTTTTATTACATTTTCTGATACATATTGATGCCTTTGTGCTATGTAGAAAGTTTGAGCTGTTTCCGACTAATATTTTTCGAGTTATGATCATTTTTAAAAACAAGCCAATTTTTGAAAAATACCCAAGGCTATATATAGCCCATGGTTTTTTCAAAAAAATGGCTCCAAAATCACCCCAAATTTTTATTACATTTTCTGATACATATTGATGTTCTTGTGCTATGTAGAAAGCTCGAGCTGTTTTTGACAAATAATTTTGAGTTATGAGCATTTTTAAAAACGAGCCAATTTTTGAAAAATACCCAAGGCTATAGCCCATGGTTTTTTTCAAAAAATGGCTCAAAAATCACCTCAAATTTTTATTACATTTTCTGATACATATTGATGCCTTTGTGCTATGTAGAAAGTTTGAGCTGTTTCCGACTAATATTTTTCGAGTTATGATCATTTTTAAAAACAAGCCAATTTTTGAAAAATACCCAAGGCTATAGCCCATGGTTTTTTCAAAAAAATGGCTCCAAAATCACCCCAAATTTTTATTACATTTTCTGATACATATTGATGTTCTTGTGCTATGTAGAAAGCTCGAGCTGTTTTTGACAAATAATTTTGAGTTATGAGCATTTTTAAAAACGAGCCAATTTTTGAAAAATACCCAAGGCTATAGCCCATGGTTTTTTCAAAAAATGGCTCCAAAATCACCTCAAATTTTTTACTACATTTTTTGATACATATTGATGCCTTTGTGTTATGTAGAAAGTTTGAGCTGTTTCTGACAAATATTCTTGAGTTATGAGCATTTTTAAAAATGAGCCAATTTTGAAAAATACCCAAGGCTATAGCCCATGGTTTTTTAAAGAAATGGCTCCAAAATCACTCCAAAATTTATTACATCTTTTGATACTTATTGATGTCCTTATACTATGTAGAAAGTTTAAGTTGTTGTTGACAGAATTTTTAGCATTTTAAAAATGGCCCAATTTTTGAAAAAAAAAAACGGTTTTTTTCAAGCCCATGGTTATTTTTTATTTGACTTATTTCCTAGTGTTTAAGAAGAGTTGATTCAGGATTTCGTCTTCCTCCTCCTCCTGGTTGTCCCAGGTCTATATATGAGATGATGATACAATGCTGGTATGTATCATTAATTACTGTATTATTAATATTTGTTTATTTATAGGCATCCAGATACTGGTAGTCGTCCTACATTTGTACAGTTAGTATCAAGACTCTCATTATCTGATGCTAAACTGTTGAGTACAGTATCAAGTGATACTACAGTAATAGGAGGACCACTGGAGACTGGATATCAACTATATACTGAACTACAAAATATGTATCAGTAACTTAATTTTGTTTTATATTTGCTTGATTATTATTATTATTTTTATGTACTTATATGTTGTTTAAGTTTTTATGTTTTTTATGATTATATCATTTGATTATACTGCTAAATTTAATATACTTTGCTTTATTGCTCTTACCTAATAAGGAATTGTGCTAAGTGCTGAGTCTAGGTGTGCATACAACTTGCATGATGGAGTTAGATCTACTTGTTCTTTTATCCATTTGTCTGTTACAAGGTATTGCACACGTTTATTCCATAATAATGTATTATTTATTGTCTTTGTAGCTGGTGCAGTTGAGTCTTGTACTGAAGGATTCATGAGTCATGATCTCCTCACTGCTAAGGCTGAGCAGATCACATCCAGTGTGGAATCATCAGTCACTAGACTAGCTGAATCACAACCAACAAGATGGATATTTGGATATGATTTTATACCAAAGCCATCCTGCAACAGCTCACATGTGATAACTGGACTTGTACTAGGAGTAGACATTAGAACAGTAACTGAGAGTCGTAATGAATATCCTCTTTTTGAGGTATGGAGGATAAGCAATGGCAATCCTGCTTATTACTACAAGCAACAGAATATTTCTGTTGTTTTAACACCAGCTAATTTTAGCACAAATGGAACCTACAAATTCATGTTTTCTAGATCAATCAGTTTTAATTCAAGCACTCGTTTAGGAATATATCAACCAGCCAATGGTAATAGTGTTGTTAGGTTTTATACAGTACGTCAATCAATAGACATAGATCTACTAAGAGTAAAAGCTGCAGATATCAATAATGATCCACTTGTTTATTCAACTAATTTTAATACTTGGCGTTCTTTTAATGTCATTATGCATCCAATAACAGGTTAGTAAAATGTAAATGCAAAAATAGAATGTTTTGTTTTAACTTTTAGAACCAAATGATGACTGCTTTCAAGGTTTCTTAAGTCAAAATGATGTGATTACAAATAGCTCTGGTATCACTAGGATTACAAGGGTTACAAATGAAGTAAGAGCATTCCTTGATATCCGGTTCACGTGTAACGGAACAATCAAAAACATAATACTGGGAACTTTAAGATTTGAAAATCATTACCCATTAATTCAACTTAAAAGATCATCTCAACTGATCAATGTGTTACGTCCTAACATTACTGGTGCTACTAATATTAGTACTAATTTGTATAACGTGAGCCTAATCAATCCAGTTGAAGTTAAACCCAATGATATACTAGTGATAGACAGTTCAAATGATGCAAGAATGTACTACCAGCAATACAATGGACCACTCAATTATGAAATTGAGAATCACAATGGCGAGTTAGAACTGGAACCACTAGACAGTTCTA